TTCAAACGAGCAAAATGGATGGAAACTCCCAATTGCAAGAAAAGAAAGAATTAAAAAAAGATTTGTGCAATCTGATGTATGGTGGATACAATCGAGATAAAGGGTTTTTATTTTTTGAGAACATCGACATCCTAAGTCCAAACTTTTTGTAGGACCCACTTCCTATATTATAATGATAATTTACAAAGCAGGAAAATAGTTATATAAATCGGTGACCTACAAAACAAAAGATCACTTTGATGAATCGATGATCCGAGGTGGTCAAAAGGATTTCAATTCTTAAGTTAGATNTATAAATCGGTGACCTACAAAACAAAAGATCACTTTGATGAATCGATGATCCGAGGTGGTCAAAAGGATTTCAATTCTTAAGTTAGATCACAAGTCGAAAAAGAATATGGAGAGGATACGTTAGGATTAAATCTCTTATCAAGTACTCAGAGGTCTTTATTTATAGCAATAAAGAGATATATTTCAATGGAACCCGAAATTTTTATTAATAGTAAAAGGAAGATGTGTCAAATGGAACTTGAACTCTAGGTTGATTAGCTCAACCTTATCACCAGATCCTAAAAATACAGGGTAGAGTTGTTTTAGGACTCTTTGTGCTAGGCCGTTATCACGAGAAAATATTCATTACAATTATGATATCACATGACAATGTGATGTAGTATCACCAACTAATAATATTAAAACATGAGTAATCATATTTAGACTTAAAAATTTGAATTAATTTTCTGATATAATGATGTGGTTTCAATAGAACTATTGGATCAACACCAAGCTCCAATTAACTTGAGTCCATCAAAGAATGTGTANTCTGATATAATGATGTGGTTTCAATAGAACTATTGGATCAACACCAAGCTCCAATTAACTTGAGTCCATCAAAGAATGTGTAACGGCGAAAACGGAGCTGTAAGTGGAATGTCCTGAAAATCCGTTGGTGGTGTGGTGCCCCATTGGTGAAATGCCATAAACAAGGGTGACTTAAGATATTTTGGGACCTAAAATGGAAATATTGAGATCTTTTTAATACGTAATTTTCAATTTTTTAAAATACTAAAATATTAATTAAATTTTTATATTCAAGTTTTTGTTACCATATTTAATGGTAGGAGAAAGAAATAATTGAAAATTTATGATGGTAAATTTAAACTTGATTTTTTTTAGGNCTTTGATGAATCGATGATCCGAGGTGGTCAAAAGGATTTCAATTCTTAAGTTAGATTGCAAGTCGAAAAAGAATATGGAGTGGATACGTTAGGATTAAATCTCTTACCAAGTACTCAGAGGTCTTTATTTATAGCAATAAAGAGATATATTTCAATGGAACCCGAAATTTTTATTAATAGTAATAGGAAGATGTGTCAAATGGAACTTGAACTCTAGGTTGATTAGCTCAACCTTGTCACCAGATCCTAAAAATACAGGGTAGAGTTGTATTAGGACTCTTTGTGCTAGGCCGTTATCACGAGAAAATATTCATTACAATTATGATATCACATGACAATGTGATGTAGTATCACCAACTAATAATATTAAAACATGAGTAATCATATTTAGACTTAAAAATTTGAATTAATTTTTCGATATAATGATGTGGTTTCAATAGAACTATTGGATCAACACCAAACTCCAATTAACTTGAGTTCATCAAAGAATGTGTAACGGCGAAAACGGAGCTGTAAGTGGAATGTCCTGAAAATCCGTTGGTGGTGTGGTGCCCCCATTGGTGAAATGCCATAAACAAGGGTGGCTTAAGATATTTTGGGATCTAAAATGGAAATATTGAGATCTTTTTAATACGTAATTTTCAATTTTTTAAAATACGAAAATATTAATTAAATTTTTATATTCAAGTTTTTGTTACCATATTTAATTGTAGAAGAAAGAAATAATTGAAAATTTATGATGGTAAATTTAAACTTGATTTTTTTTAGGGTTAAAACTAGATTTTTAGTAGTTTTAGTTTTACAGTTAGTTTTTTTTTCTTTATTTGAAAAAATAAATTTTAGGCCTATTTAATTTTATAGCTGAATTAATAGGCCTAACCTACTTAAGTTGAAATATTTTGTTTGGACATGATTTTAAATTTTTTGGTGAAAATTGAGATTGAGTCTTTCTAGATGGACTTATATTGACTTAAGTCCGTCAAAGAAACTTATTCAGTGATTAGTTCATTTTTTATCTTAATAATAAGTAGTTAAGTCCACTATCTTTTTAAAACTCCAAAATACCCTTCTTATGATGTTTCAAGACTATTAGATCTTAATTTTGTTTCCTAATTGAGAAACATTGAGGCTCTTTACCCCTTAATTTTACCCTTAATTCGTGCTCATAAGATTTGACCATAAAATTGAAAATTCAAATTCATGATCCACACATTATTCTAGTTAATCCCTAACAATTTTCAGTTTTTTNAGTCCGTCAAAGAAACTTATTCAGTGATTAGTTCGTTTTTTATCTTAATAATAAGTAGTTAAGTCCACTATCTTTTTAAAACTCCAAAATACCCTTCTTATGATGTTTCAAGACTATTAGATCTTAATTTTGTTTCCTAATTGAGAAACATTGAGGCTCTTTACCCCTTAATTTTACCCTTAATTCGTGCTCATAAGATTTGACCATAAAATTGAAAATTCAAATTCATGATCCACACATTATTCTAGTTAATCCCCAACAATTTTCAGTTTTTTCTTCGCCACCATGAAGGAAGATGCTGCCGTCGAAGCTCTCACCACAAATAAAGCTCTTGATTCCATTAATATGCACCCACCATGAACAGAGCTTTGATTCCACCTAAATTGCCCTCAGATTTTATCGAAATGCCAACTAAAATTGTGCACTAACTCATATTCAACCAAGGCCCCGAAGAGAGTGGATATGTTTACATTCGTATATGTGGATCGAGTTACGTTGTTCTGCTATTGTGTTGTTTATTCTTACTTACTTATATGTTTCCTTATTATTACTCAAACTTTTATTTGAGAAGTAATGTGTTAGACCTAAAGATATATATTAAACTACAATAATATTTGCAAATTATATTTGTCATTTTAGAACTTTATTCATATTAAACTTTCTATAGGTGAATGTGTGCATGTATGCATATAATATGACACTATCAAAGTGTTCCCGCTCTCGAATTTTTTAAATATTGATGTTTTTGTGCTCTTGTTTCCGTTTCCAAACACAACATGACACATTTATCACCCTAGAATCCCATCATTCTCAAAGAAATGAAAGCTATCAAAAAATAAATAAATTTATTATATTACGTATCACGCAGGATCAGTTGAGTTTTAGCCTCGGGTGTTCACTTGGTTGACCTGTCAGAATCTAATATTAGGTCAACTGAATTTGCACGTTGTTAACTAATTGGGGTAGCTTAGTTGGTTAGAATCTCTAGGTTCCCAATGGAATGTCAGGGATTCGAAGTTCTCTGGGCACAATAGTATGGTTAGTTAGTATGACGAACCATATTTAAGTTTTTGGTGTGGTTCTTGAGTCTCTGGCGAAATGCAAGTCCTAATTTAAATGGTGTATGAGTTGAGAGACCAGTTCATACCCCGGATTTTGCCTTTGGTTTTACTCAAAATTATGAGCCTAAGCGACATAAGCGCGACTCTACTCGCTGAAAACAGACCATGAAATTTCTTCGTTTCCAAATTGGTACCGTAAGAGGCAAAAAATTGAGATTATCTCATATTAGAATTGAAATGGATATAGGATCCTGAACTTGATCTCTCAATCTTCCTCTTCCTGCAAAATCAACATACTGCCCCAAGATCGAAGTGCTTCAATTGAAGCCACTCTTATGCTTAAGTCAGTAAGGATAATGAAATGAATGGAATAAGACAAGGAGGGTTCAGCGTACCTTTCAACTTGGTCTCTTATGTTTTTTATTGATTGTTCATCCCTTAGTGTTTTCATGAATTTAGGTTCAAGGTGGCACACATTCATTCAATTCAATCATTCAGTTTGGGAAGTTGTTGATATTTCTCTATTATTTATCTTAATATCTTCAATTTCTCTGATTTGCTTATCTCATTGCCTAAGTTATAGGCGTCTTTTTATCATTCTGTTTATCTAAAGCGGCTTGGACATATCAGACGCCGAGCACACTTGATATTAGCCGAACAGATTAAGGGACTTGGTTTGGCACAAACCGATCTCTTCAATTAACTTGCTGAATACTTTAATGGACTCGGCTTGTGCCAAGCCAAAGCCGAGCTCTTTCATAGCTTAACCAAACAGACTGATGAGCTTGGTCATGAAGAAAAACAATCTTTTTCAGCTATTGCTGATCCTCTATTTAGCTTTAGAAAACTCTTAGTAGAAAATTTTTTATCACGTGTCTGGTCTTATCAATATTACGTAAGTACATTTAATGGTGTGTCACTTGTAATCATGAGGTTTAACCCCTTCGTATACGTTGTTGAATTTTTAAATTTGATTGGTTGAAAACGTAACTTTATCACGAATTCATTCTCTTCTCAAATTATAGATTCGCATGTGGAGAGATACAGCGTGACTCAGCATGTCACTCAGGTTGTGAAAGTGAATCAGAGGGCCATACAAATATTTATGTAATTCAATAAAATTTTATCTGTGTCCACAAGAATGGGTTGTATTTACTATATTATAACAATCGTAATAAATATCAAAGAGTGCCTCAATTTGATGGGGCCTGCCTTGGGCATGAAAGTCAGTGTTATGCTAACAAAAAAAATCTTTCTTTCATAGTGACTGTTATCATCGTGATACTTTTGGTTATTTCCGAGATAAAGGAAAAGGGAGCGGTGAGGAGGGCTATTTTACACTTCTTTTTTTGGAAAGAACATTAATATTAATAAATGCAGGCCCATCTCATAGTTATTTACAATCATATCACCATAGAGATTGCAAAGAGAATGAAAATACAGCAACTTACAATGACATTACAATACATTACAGTGACTTATATGACCGAGTGCATGAACAGTTACACTGGAAGTCTACCCCTTTGGGGTGTAAAGGCCTCTGACCTCTGCCTCAGTGAATTGATCAGGCAAAACAATTGAAGCAATTTGCCTGCCGAAAGCATGATGAACGCCGTATACACAACCGGCCTAATCAAGTCCGAGAACAAAATTGATATTAGACATGCCAATGACAATGAACCAAACAATGTCGCACTGTGGCAGGCAATATCGGCATATGTTGGAGATGGAAATTTTGAAAAAAATCTCCACTTTAGTTCATACAAGAGGCAATGCAAGAGCAAACTAGTAATGGCAACCAACATGGTCTTCGGGTGGGTCTCAAATGGCGTTTTGGTGTCTCCTTGGCACTTCAGCTGTAAGAGGTTGATGAGTGTCGGAACAATAAAAGTGAGAATTGCATAATACGAAGGGGAAGTACGATGATATTGTTCCAAGAAATTGAACCTTATATCAATGGAAACAGCGTTAAATTCTCCATAGAAGTTTGTGGGTCCGTGATTAAAGAAGGCTGGTCTTGCTGTGTTGGCCATGGTAGTAAGAAGTGGAGAAGGAAGTTTTAGCAATCACTCTTTCGGTATTTCTCCTTAATCACAAGAGTTGAATTTTGATATGGATTCTATAACATTTTAAACTGGCTTCTACCTTTTATAGCGATGCTTGTGGCTTGTGTCTTCTTTAATGACATTATAAATTCAAAGTGATTAGGTTTCTGCTTTTTGTGGAGACAAACTGTCATGGAAGTTAGAATCAAAACGCTATCTACGCGCGCAGGAGCGAATTGTTGTTCAGTACTGAATCATGGGAATTATACAATTTAAATAAAATACTGTCGTCAGCTGAAAAATAATAGAATAAGAAAATTGTATATATGACGTATTTTTATTAGGTAAGAATTGAAGATAGGCTACAGAAAAATGATATTTCAGCATGATAACCGGGCTCTAATAATAAATTGAAGTGTCCCATGGGTAACCTGGGGGTAGAGCCCTTTAGTATTGGCAGTACCCTAGTGGAGTGTTCCAAGATAATCAAGATAAGTTGTCACACGCATGCTGATTTAAAGTGGGTGCATTAATTTAATTAATTAAAGGCTTAATTAGGTACGTCGTGAGCCTTTCGGACATGTTTGGTATATTTTTTTGGGAGGGATTTGGATTGGATTGTCAAAACCCGAGTTCGACCAAAGATGAGATTGAAAAAAGAGATTCAATATTCAATGTTGTCCATACCCATCTTTGGTATACGCAGGGATATATATATTTGTATTTAAATAACTATTGTGCTCTTTAACTAATTTAATCCAAACATGGGTATGGATATATGAGGGATATAAATGTCATTTGAATGTGAAACCCTCAAACCCACATATGAAATCCATCCTTCCCATGGGTTTCATGAAACCCATGAACTAGGGTTTTATGACCGGACCAGATTTCAAACTCTATGCTAAATTTATATACCAAACATGGGTTTAAGGGAATTCAGTCTCCAACCCATGTTCCAAAATCCCTCCAAACTCACATACCAAACAACTCTTTCGAGTCTTGAGCAAGGAAGGTACTAGGAGTATGGTCGAATCTTATGCTCCGTTTGGTAGGTAGGATAAAAAATAAGAAGAATGGAAAGTAGGAGGATGTATTTTCTATTCTTGAAGGATGAAAAGTAGAAAGAATACACTTTCCTTCATTTATGTTTAGTTGGATGGATGAAAAATTAAAATTACTATTTTTTTTTTGGTACTGGCTAAGATTAGGGGTGACAATAGAATCGAGTCGTGCCGTGTCAGATTCGTGTTAAGTCATTACGAATTTGTGTCGAATATTAGTCAAACATAATTTAACTCATTTAACTAATTGTGTCGTGTCGAATTATGAGTTGACCTATTTATTTTCGTATTGAGTTCGAGTTGTGTTATCGTGCTAAGTCGAAAATTTTCACTCTTAGTTAAGATGAAAAAAATATATTTTTTTAATTTAAAATTTTTATTTTTATTTTTATTTTTTTGATCTTTTATCTTTTATCTTTTATTTTTTTTTATTTTTTTTATCTTTTATCTTTTATTTTTTATTTTTATTTATAATTAATTTTTAAAATTTTTAAAATATATATACATATTTTACCATTATATTTTTATATGAAATTAATATATACATAAGATATATAAACAAATAAGATATATCTCAACACAAATAATTAATTTTTCATCCACTTTCATTCCGATTTTAAAGAAATTGATTTTGGTGAGTTGAAAAGAAAGTTAATTCATCCATTTTTTCATCCTTTTTACTTTTCTTCCTTACCAAACATAATATTTTATTTATCTTTCTATCTTTTCATTCTCCTATTTTTTTATTGTACTAAACGGAACATTATACTTTTACAAAACTTGACAGTCACAAGAGAGAGATCCTAACCCAGTATACACAAATCACTCTATTGTAATGATACAATATTCAAAAAAATAATCATAATTCACCAAAAAACAAAAGGACAGTTTTCCACATACCTACAAAGTGGCATAACTTTAGAAACATCCATTGGGAGACCACATATGACTACTACCTAGGAAACAAAAGATTAATATGGCCAAATTCCATGACTAGACAAGTCACCATCGAATAAACAATTTCGTGGAAACTTTCTTGTCCTGTGCTTCGGTCAAAGTCTTCATAGACACCTACAAAAATGGCAAGGCACAGAAAAAAACAAACAATATTATTTAGATTTAAAATATTAATTTAATTTATAAACTTAATTAATTAATTATTATTAATTTAACTATAAGTCTCAATATTTATTACGATTCATTACATATTTAAAAGTTATGATTGAATAAGTCAATAAATTATATTAATATTTTAAATTCAAATAATATTTATCGGGCAAATTGATTCCTACCATTTCTGTCTCCGCACTTACAATACGAACCTTTTTAGCACCCTGATGTAGCCTACATGTATCCCAACTGGGGTCCCAATTATAAGAACTACTTATATATACTGACAAATCTGCTTACATTCTCCTACTTACGTGTATTTGACGACACATCAACCCATTCAAGCGTGCATAGGTGTAGGCTGTTTTTTAAGGACAGCCATAACCCTAACATATATACTTCCAAGGAGCTGACAAGACAGCTAATGATTTCAGACCCCCACCCACCCACATTACAATGACCTAATAATACAATGACCTAACACTGAGCATTTTGTTTTTGTTTTTTTTTTTGGTCAGACCTAATATATACTGACCTTTGAGTTCTTTATATCATTTAAAGCTCTATATTCTGACTTTCATTCACACCATGTCATTGTTTACTGTGACTGTTATTTTATATCATGATCGGCAGCATTACATGAGAATGGTTGTGCATCATCTTATTTTATTAATGATTAAACCACAAATCAACATAAGATTCTTCTATGTTGTTAATTATTATTTTTCTATCCATCAACTCTGACACCATGATAACATTTTATATAAAAAAGAAGATGGCACTGATGGTCACCAAGAGACCAAGACTATGCATTTATTTATACTATGTGATGCATCACAAAAATTAGTGATAAACTATAGAATTGATAAAGACCAATAGTTTCTAAACTCAGGTGATCTGATGAATGACCTTTATAGATACTTTAAGGACAAATTATTTCAAATTGCACACTCAATAAAATTAATTGGTAATAATGTGGCTTGAATCATAATTTTCATTTTTTTCCAATTTTGGTGAGTTAGAAGAAAATTTTATTCATCCACTTTTTCATTCTTGATATATTCATTCTTTACCAAACATAATGTTTTATCTATCATTCTAACTTTTTATCATTCTAACTTTTCATCATTACAACTTTTCATCCTAACGAAGCATTAATTTGTACCTTCAAGCGTCAATTGTTTTAAATTTTGCACACTCAATAAAATTAATTGATAACAATATGACTCTGGCCATAACTTCTGTTGCGATTTTTGTCTAATTGACAGGCACATGAAAAGATTAAGGGTCATAATCCAACAAATGTTATCACGTACATCTCATGTATCTGTTAATTTGATAAAAATCGCAATGGACATTAAGACTAGAGTGACATTGCTATCAATTAATTTTATTGAAATTCTAATTTGAAATAATTTTTTATAATTTTTTATCAAATATGTTATTTATTTATTTATTTTAAAAAAACTCTCTAATATAGAAAACATTATTGATGATGCTTAAATATTAGATAAGTAGCATAGTTAAGGGGTTAAAGCGTAATTTTCCCTTAGATTACTTAATTGAAGGCTTGGTTAGGAATCTTTGACCCTCCTTGATTACTTTAGCCTTTTTATTGAATATGTCCCAATTGGGGGCCTTATTATTATTATTATTTTTTTTGACTACATCAAAACAAACATCCTAAGTCCTAACTTGTTTTTTTGTTCAACGATAAAAGATATTTGAATTAATTTATAAATATTTTGATTAATCTCTTCTTCGATCTAATTAAATATAGACTATTTACACAAAAATTAAGAAATTTATGAAAAATAAATTTCTCTTAACTTGACTCTAAGGAATTGCCCAATTTTAAATTTTAGACATCTAAATTTACAGTTCAGTCTTCTTATCATTTAAACTATATGGGATTAACTCCTAACTTTTTTTAGAAACCCGATAAGAAGCTGCATTTTCCATAATAATGTGTTGTGATCGTGCAGCAATTATGGTGAATAGTAAGGAATCAAACAATTAAGAAAGCAGGAGAAAATAACACACAGAGATTTACGTGGTTCGGCAATGTGCCTACATCCACGAGAGCGAGCGGCTGTTCTTTTCCTTATTGAAGTAGGGTTACATATTAAGTATTTATATAACCCTAATATGGACGTATTTACAAAAATATCCCTGTACCGTACCGCGGGGGCGTTGCCCCCGCACCCCCAACTTATCAGCGTCCCCTATATATAAATCCCGCAAGGCAGATGCCGTCGCAGGCTCCGCTCCGGCATCTGCCTCCTTCCCATTATGCACATAGCAAAATATGAGCCACACATACTCTAACATAATGTATATATGCAATTCTCTTGTTCGATCATTTTTGATTCACTTGTTTAATCATTAACGTTATCCACTTGAGAGGGAGAGGGAGAGAGAGAGAGAGAGAGAGTGTTTGTCTATAGAATATAAGGTCAAATGCCTGCTTGACATTTGTAGAACAACTAAACGGAAAGGGGGTTGGCGGTGATACCGTATGCGCTAGGTTGAAGTAGATTTATTCCTTCTCTCAGATACTTCAAATGAGAAAAATAAAAAGAAAAGAAAGAATTAAAAAAAGATTTGTGCAATCTGATGTATGGTGGATACAATCAAGATTAAGGGTTTGTGCAATCTGATGTATGGTGGATACGATCGAGATAAAGGTTTTTTCTTTTTTGGCAACATCGAAAGAGTCACCCTAAGTCTAAACTATTATAACGATATTACTAGGTAGAAAACCTAGAAAACAAGAGATCACTTAGATGAATCGATGATCAAAGGGATTCCGAT